CGTTGAGGCTGCAGACCCTGAATTGGGATACAGCCAAGGAGAGAGCACAGACATAACGGGTAAACATGGAATAAAACACGAGGGGAAACGAGGGCTCACAGATACACAGAGGGTAATCAAATAAGGAACATCTTAACAGAACCTAGGAACCACGGCATAAAAAAGAACAAAATACACGAAAACCAAGAATACTGGGCCAACATGGCCCAGGACCATGACAGAAAGACCATTTAGAACAATCTCTAAAATACATTGGTTAGTTAAATCCCAGGTTATTGTTCAGCACAGAAGTAGGAGGGAGAACATGGAAGAAGTCATCCTGATCATTTGTACATGTACATACTTCAATAGTCAAAATATAAATAATATGTCGATAATATACATATTATAAAAATGTAAAGCAACAGTAATTATCTGGTTGGCGCTCCATCCTGGTCCTTTTTGGTGGCGCCATCCACCATAAAGCACAGAAAAGAATAAGAAAAGGAGGACGCATGACTACCACAGTGCAAAGATACACTGGGAGGGCTGCTAGAGCAGGTCATCTGCTAATCGGAAGGTTGATGGTTAAATCCCTGGCTAATCCAGTCAAATATCCTTGGGTCAGATACTAACCCCAAGCTGCTCTCCAATGCCGAGTGTGACCGTTAGATAGAAATGGTGCTTGTATGAATGTATAGAGTGCTTTGAATGCTCCGGGAGGGTAGAAAGAATCAGCACGTTTACCATTTCCTGGAGGAGATGTAGAAACTGTTGACTCAGCAGAAGAGATAACCTCGGTTGGTAGACAGCACAACTCCAAGTGAATAACTTCCGGCGTCAGGACGTGGACGGGAAGCTGAAAAAAGTGACGAGTAATGAGAGTAATGAATACCACTGATTGAGACATGACCTGGTAGCAAACTGGGCAACCAGAGCCTGAAATGTGACTCGCCATGAGTCTGTTGCCATGAGTGAATAGCTTCCAGTGTGGATGCAGCTTAAGGCAAACCCTAGTTTAACCTGTCGTAATGTTATCGTGGAAGTTTTGTAAAATGGTAAATGGCCTGCATTTGTGTAGCGCTTTACACTACAGTCATCCACACATTCACACACATGATTTTTTTACTCATTAATGGGCGATCGTGGCTCAAGAGTTGGGAGTTTGCCTTATAATCGGAAGGTTGCCGGTTCGAGCCCCGGCT